CCTAAGTGAGAGGTCTTGATATATATATATATATATATATATATATATCGGATTAACGTATAAATAAAATAGACGAATATGCCACAGATTTTTCCAAAATATATATAAGCCATGGACTGAAACAAGTATTTCAAACGTAAATCTTTGTCTAGTTTTAAGTAAATTGCAGTGAAACTTTTAATTAACTTTTTCTTCTTCTTCTTCTCATTGGCACGACAGCCCAGGATGGGCCTTGGCCTTCTCAACAAGCCTATGCCAAGACATTCCTCCTTTAGCCAAGGTTTTCCAGTTAATTATCTTTAAAATTTGTAGGTCCTTTTCAAGACAGTCTAAAAATCTTAGATTTGGTCGTCCTCTTTTTCTTGTACCTGTTGGCCTGGCACAGAAAACTTTTTTGGTTGTCCTGCTATCCTCCATTCTTATAATGTGGCCAACCCATTTAATCTTTTGAATTTTGATAAATTTAATGACATCAGGTTCTTTATAAGCTTTGTAAAGTTCCGTGTTTGATCTTCTAAACCAGGCACCGTTTTTACTTATTCCACCAAAAATGCTTCGCAGTATTTTTCTCTCAAAACTAGCTAGCATATTTTCATCTCCATGGGTTTTTGTCCAGGTCTCACATGCGTATGTAAGCACTGATCGTATAAGACATTTATAGAGTAACACTTTTGTTTTTCTTTTTATTGGGCTTGACTTAAGATATTTTCTTAGGCCATAAATTTTTTCTAGTCCAACCGAATTCAGAAAGTCTGTCCTTTAAAGAATCTTCCTTAAAACCATTATATGTGTTAGGCTATATGTGGGATGCGACTTCACTTCCCAAACAAGATCTAATATTTCTGAACTTGTTGCTAACAATGTGTGATACCTACCATTGTCGCGGTAAAAATTTCGATAAAAATTAAATTACTGTAGTGGTGAAAACTTCGATTTGCAAAAGAGAAAAATTTCGATAATTTTGATGACCTCAAATCACACTTAGTTGAAATTTAAGCTGATACTAATCACATTTTTTCTGAGGGCAGGACCATAAATAAAGATACCAGAAAGATGGCAAGTAATCATGAAACAGGATGAATGATTGATTTGACTACTTAAATTTCGATTTTTGCTGAGAAAAATAAATCGACTTTTATTTCGCATTAAAAGCAAACGTTACTTTCTTGGCGACCCAATAGTACATAAAGATTAAAATTAAATATGGGCTTAGAGTTAGCGCATTTTCGCTGATATGGATCAAACGTTCTATGAGTGCAAGACCATGAAGATACCAGAAATCATAATTTCTTACCTATTGCTAAAAATGTATGCTGCCTACCATTGTCACCGGACACGTTTTCTTTGTGATTCGTCATCTTAAATATAGTCCCGATCTTGCACTACTGGATTATCATTTATTTCAAAGTTTACAAAACTTTTAAAAAGATAAAAATTTTGGTAATCATGATAACCTTAAATCGCATACTTAGATTAAACTTTCGCTGATATCGATAAAACATTTTATGAAAGCTGGACCATGAAGCTACCAGAAATCATGCAGCATCACTTCCCAAACAAACTCTAATAATTTTGTGTCTGTTTTTAAAAATGGGTGAAGTCTACCATTGTCACCAGACACGTTATTTGTGATTGGTCATCTTCAATATAGTTACGACCTTGCATTACCGTATTAACATTTATTTCGAAGTTTACGAAATTTTTTAAAAGATGAAAATTTCGGTAATTACGATAACCTTAAATGACACATAATTGTAATTTTCGCACCAATTAAAACATTTTATAACCCCAAATAAAAAAAATTGCGTTTTTACTTCACTACTTAAATATATTCTAAAGTAAATTTAATAAAATCGAAAATGTACTAGTCAGAAATATCACTCAATGCATCCATTTAACACGGAACATTTTCGTCAATTTAATAATTCATAAAACATTTTCAATATCCCAATTCCATCCATGCCTTGCGTGAGAACTTAATTTGATTAATACCGTCTCTTAAAAATAGTTTTTATCCTTTATATAGAAAAAAAAACTCGAATAGAATAATCCAAGTTTATTATATACTAAAGCTGTTACCATTTAAAACTATTAATAACTCCAAAAAAAATAATCGCGGTTTTACATCCCCACTAAAATATATTCTAAAATAAACTCAATAAAATTGAAAATATACAAATTAGAAATATCACTCGATGCATCCGTTAATCAGGGAACATTTTCGTCAATTTAATTATGCATAAAATGCTTTCGATCTTCCAATTCCATCCATGCCTTGCGTGAGAATTTAATTTCGTTTATTAGATACTCTTTGGATGCCTTCCAAGCACAATGCTCTTTCTCCAAAACCATGAGAATTGGGGGTGTCATCTCCTTTAGAAAGTGGCGTTCACAGTGTCGTAGATGTCGTTACGTGCAGAAATCGAGTTATTCGATCGAAACTTTTACGGCGAAGGAAATAAATTGAACAATAAATTTTAAGCCAGGATTTGATTAAAAGTTTGGCATTAATCTTGCCTCGAAAGTTTCATGAGGTGATAATAAAATTATATTTAACTCCGCATTCGCCATAAAAACTATTTATCAAAATAGAAATTTGGAAAAATTTAATTTATTAAAGCTTCCCGTCCTCTGTCTAAGGGTATAAAATTTCTCCAATAAGAGACACAGTCTTTGTTTGGATACATAAATTGCTATATATATTATTGTTATATATATATTATTGTTATATATATTATTGTTATATATATTATTGTTATATGTTGTTATTAAATTATATTTGTATTCGCTCTAATTTATTGTAATGTATTGTTTTTATATGTTATGATACAAAATTAGTGTATATCTTAAGAGGAAAATTTTAAAATAAATAGGATACTTCAAGAAAAGATATTAAAAATTTTAATTTTTGTTCTATTTTTGCTTAAAGTTTATTTCAAACAGCTTTACCACAATTTGGATTTCTTCCATCAAAGTAAAGAATGAATTTTTTTATAAACTTTCCATTTTATTTTAAGACTGTCTTTGAACACTAGACTAAATTTTGAATTTACGATAACAAAGGTTCAAATTCGCAGCCTTGTGATTTTAACCCAATCCAGAAGACAAGGAAACTCCAGAATCGAGTGTTGGGGGAAATTTGCCTTCGTGGAGGACTTTTTGAGGGAACTAACCCGCATTTGCGTTAGATGGAGAGGAAATCCACGAAAACCTTCTACGGTTAGCCTAACGGCCAGGAAATTCTACCTCTGAAAATATTTTATGCACTGTGGTCTGTGAGAGACGGGTGCGGAATTTGTCTCGACCAGCTATAACTGGGAATCGAACCTTGGAATTGAGACTCCGCTCCACTCCTTCGCTACCATGGCTCATATATTCTAATCTTAAGTTTCATCGAACTCAGATAAGGTTGACTAGAAAATAAATAACAGGAATCGAATAGGATAAAGTTAATTGAGGGTAAATTTTCGCTTCCTGTAGAGATATCGTAAAATATAAAAATAAAATTCTCTTTCAAGCTTTATTTATTGATAAAAATCACAAGGTTGATCAGTTCTTTCATTGAAGCAATTACGGAAGATAAAACAACTGTTTTCATGAAGTTTTATTCTAAATGTAAATTTAATTTGGCGCAATACTAAAGCTTATCTCTCCAATCAACGCATTTACTTTTAAATTAGTATTTATTACATCACAGATATTCTTCTGAAGTAAAGTGTGTTAATTAATAGTCATTAATAATAAAAGTTATTTCCATGCGACAAAATATGGACAGTATTTTGTTGCACGGAAGTAATGTTCATTGATCCATTTCCGGAGAATTGCTTAAAATTATAAATCATAAAGTGTTTTGATAGTGTTAATTTCATTTGAATGAATAGCGTACATCATAAGACATAAAATTCTGTGAAATTAAGGCGCACCGTTTTTCAAATAATGCGTTATACATTTCCTATTGGATACTTGCAAACACGAAGTTGCGCGAGAGTCAGCCAATCAGGTTCGACAAACTCTCATCACGTCGCTTAATTCAATTAAATCTTATCCGAAAATCCGAATATGTTATTCGATATTTTTATTCAACATATTTTTCATACTTTTTTCATTATCTTGTGATAATTTAGCTCAAAGTAAAAAGTATTTTATTCAGCATTTTAATAATTATGTTCATGAAATACAGCTAGAAACACCGGTGTCTTTTCCTGCTTTAAAGATAAAATCTTCAAAACACAGCTCATTTCTAAACAATAAGTTTTCAAATTTGCATTCATTAGCAGTTATTTAGATTTAAGCAAAATGAAATTTCTTAAGTTTGCGAAATCAATTATTCTTACTTTCTTAAATATAAATGAAAAACGATTCAAACTATTTTTTTTTTAGATTTTATGTTTTAGGTAAATATAATTTTGACAATGTAACAATTTTTTTTAATAATTCTTAGACTGTTTTTTTTTAAATTAAAAAGGGCCAAAATATAGTTAATATTGAATCATTAGAGGGCCTGCATTCTTCACAAGAACAATACAGATTCTTTAAACTGGTTAGGTGATTAACGAGCAGAAAGCAAGAGGCATAACGGAGGAGATATCTTACACGTATACATAAGCATGCACACATCACCTCGGAGCATCCATAGGAAAATGTATGGTAATTCGCATCCTGTATGCCCCTTTCTTCCCTATCCCACCATCATTGTCTGGATTACCTTAGTTAGATACAGAAAATGAAAGAAGTCATTTAGAAGCAGTCAACGTGTAATTATAATGATGCGTATTATATAATGTCGCACATTGTCTCGAGATACATGATGGCATATTTATATACACCCGAAACGTTTAGCATTAAAATGACGTTTTATAATTTCCTCATATTCTAATGTGAAGTTATTTACATAGTTTCTTGAAATATTCAAATTTATTATGTGCTGGCCAACGTTTGTAATCAGCTTCGTCACCTTTCATAGTACGATATGGAAAGTTTAATATTATCTTAGCCGAAGGAACAACATAACTGTCTTTAAATATTCTAAGTCATTAATTACTCTACCAATCCGATCATCACAATTAGTTTCGAGCAATATATTGGCAAAATTTTTCCACCGTCTAGCTGTTGCCCACTCGGAAGTATCGTATTTATGCTATTGCTGGAAAAAGACAAGCTGCATCACCAATCATTTGTATGACAGTTTCCGGCACAATAGCAAGGAGAAATCTAAGTAATTACTTCTTAACTAAGTTTTAATTCCTGCAAAAATACAGCATTATTCTAAATTAAAACGTAATTGATTTCTAACTATTCAACACTGCATACATTATTGCTTAAGATAACTTAACAAAGTGAATCTAAATAAATACACTAATTCTAATATAACTATTCTAATTCACTAATTCTAATTCTAATAATAATAATAATAAATTCACCATTCAACACTAATTAAATTATTACTTAATACAATCTAACAGAATGAATAATAACTATGGTTTTACCAATTAATCGAAAAATATCCGTGCTTATGGTACCGCATGAGAGAAATATATATAGAGTGATTATATTAGTTTTAAACTGTAATAAAATATGATTGAAATAAATCTTTATTTTTTTCTTTGCAGGCATCCCACACCCAATCGTCACATGGTGGAGAGAATCAGTTTTGGTAGATGATAGTTATTCTCAGACAAGTCAAGGTTATGTTAGAAATGAGCTTGCTTTGCCAAAACTTCATCGAAACGATCTGATGATGACGTATTCCTGTCAAGCTGCAAATACAAATTTGACAGTGCCAGTTACAGCATCTATCACTATAGATATCAATTGTAAGTAAACACTAATTTAACTTAGAATTTTTAGATGTTATTTTAATTTCGTATCGAAATGTAGTATAACTACGACTATTTGGCAAGATTTTAAACCATAACTGCAACATTCCATGGTTAAGAAGATAATCAAATATCTGCTCCAATATCTAATTATCTAGCTCACGTTTTATTAGTTATTCAAAACTTATTTTTATACTTTCTTATGTTTGCTAAAGTGATAGTCAAAGGTGTTATGTAATCGCCACCATTAATATATTTAGAACACTTGTCAAAAGTGACATCAAAAATCGTTTTCATGCCGACGCAAACGGAAAATCTGCTCCTGCACCCCAAATCCCAAGGTCAATAAACTTATGATGGACCCCATTGGACTGTAGCTATAGCCAGATCTTTAAAGTCAAAATAAGACATTACTTTAAAATATAAAGAGTCCAGTTAGAGAACTGTATATCATAGAAAGTTTAACTGAAATTGATAACCGTCACTACGAAATTTTATGATATTGTTTTAGAGATGAGATTATTTAACCAGAATAATCTTATTGTCGTCGCAGCTTATCTTAAGTAGCTTTTTTTAATTTTCACTGCATATGTAAACGTATGATAAATAATTTTATTTTCTTCTTCTCATTAAGTTAAGAAGAAACCTTAAGAATAAAAAAAAAATCTAATCGTGAATTAAATTAAGATTAAAAATCAGTATATACTTTACAAAGTTAAAAATCTGTATATATTTTTAAATTTTGTGAATAGCCTATTTTTTTTTCCTCATGGTATGACTGAAAAATGAAAAGCTGTCAAAATTGAGCTCTTTTCAACATTGTCTTTTTGAGTCAAGAGCATCAAAGGAAGAAAAATGGTAGGAAATGACATTGCCGACGCGTGCTTGCGGCAATTTCCTTCGAAAATGGCAGATGAAAAAAAAAATAAAAAAAGAAGAAGATTAAAGCTGTTAAAACAAAAATATTCTACAGAACTTTCTTCAATCTAGATAGAATTTCTGAAAGGCAAACTGTTTAAAGCAATTTCATTCTGCTTGACAGTTTATCAAAAGAAAAATTCAAGAAAGTTTGAACTTTTCGGCTTTTTTCGTTTTTTTTTTCAGGAATAATTCTTGATTCGCTTGCACCTCAAAAATTATAATATGACTATCAAAATAATTTCATTAAATACCTCACTTTTTTATAATGAAAAATAAATTTTTAGCCATATTGCCAGTTTTCCTTAATTTAATATCCGTTAAAAAATAGTGTTGCGTGTTTTTCGTTTTATTTTCGCATATTTTTCTTCTTTTTAATAGCAGTCATTCCATCATCTAGCAAAACAAAAATATTAACGTTAAAATAGAGGAAAGTCAAATTTCAAACTAGAACATTTAATATTTTACTTAAAAAAAATCAATATTTGCTTCTCCAAGTAATTTTAAACTTTTCAAATGTTTTCATTGGAAATTTAACTAAATTTAAATAATCACACAACTTAATATAGTAGTCATAAGATCTACCTTCGAGTGATGTAAAATATGCAGATATCGTTTGGAGATTAACATAAATCATTTTGATAAGTATTGGTATAGAAATGATTTTTTTTTATTTAAATGACGTAATTGTTTCGTTAATTTAATAAATTGGTTAGACTAAGTTTAAAAAACCACATTTCTGCTTATGCGAATTACTATTGCAGCTTAAGTATGAGGATGTATAAGTAAATGCAACTATATAAATTGTAAAAAGTTATTTGAAAGATGAAGTGCAGTTTTTATGATAACAGATTATAATATAAGTTAAGATTTCAACTTGAGCTTAAAAGATGCTAGAAAAATAATATTCATGTTATTAATATATTCACTGGTGTTATTTAACATAAGTATAATTTTTAGTTACAGATCAGTTTTTATTAAATTTCAAAAATAAATAAAAATTCCTAAGTATTATAAGTTTTGTTTGTATTAATAGTTAATGCCTGGTACAGAGATATGCTTATTAGAAACTAAGTAAAATTAATAGAAGGTCGTTCCATTCACGTAAAATCAATTTATTTATTTTTGTATGATTTAAAAGAAATATGCAGAAGAAAGAAAATAAGGAATGTCTATGAGCGTGTTATAAAATATTATCGTTAAATAATAAAGGTTTTATGGAAAAGATTTCTCCTCATAAAATTTAGCATTAAATATTCTATTGCTTCTTTTAAGGTATTAAAGAAGAAAAATAATTTTTAAATATATTTGTGTACATTTATGAAGATTTTTAAAGCTGTATAATAATCATCAAGATATGTGAACAAAATAAAAGAATTACAATATCTGCAATGTTTAAAAATGCTAACTAACATTTAACCACAAATAACAATGTTTTTCTACGATAAATTCGATTTCCTCCCTCCCCTCTTTAAAAAATGTTCTGATGAAGGCAAATATGTTTTAAAAACTGTGCGACAAAAATATTTTAAAATTTTAATGTAATTTAAAAATTTAAAAATGCAGTTATTACGATTTCATAACATAGATGACTAAGTTATACTATCTGCAAATAAGATTAAATTGATATTTATTTCGCAGATAAACTTAAACTAAAGTACTAAATTTGACTATTTCTCCAAAAAAAGTAAATAAATGAATAAATAAAAAATATCATTATTATAATATCACGTACAGATTTAAGCATATGAGCAAGTTATAAAACCTATAAACACGATAAATGTCTATGTTCAAGTTGAACCTATGAATAAGTTTTAACGTCTAATATTCCGTTCCCTCTTTCTCTTCGTATGCCTGTTAAGGCAGAGGGGCGCAATTGCTCTTACTTTCCAGTGACGCCATCTATGACCAAGAATTCGACTTCCGTCACACTCATACGTCACACCCGGTTATAGGACGAACCCATTCATACATCCATTCATTCATCCACAGATCGTAATTTTGACCTGATTCAGAGAACGATTAATCTCCAATTCAGTATCCCCAAAGGTTCTGATTTGTTATGCGAACACGGAGGACTTAGCGACTCGACAGATTTAATGTGCATCAGTAGCCATTTACTTCACAGGGAGTCTTCGGTCGACGGGGTTCGAGCACACGAACTCTTGGGCCCAGCGCCCTACCGACCAGGCTATCACGGCCCTCAATATTCCGTTATGATGTCTATGAACAACAATGTTTCAACAAAAGAAAAAAAAATATTTTTTAAGTCCTTCTAATAAGCACTATGTTCCGGTAAGCAATTGAAGATAAAATTTAAAGCTACTTATTAAATGCATGAAAAAGGAACATATAGGAATTAGTCAATCCACTATTTTCATATTAATAATAATTTAAATTGTTTTTTTTTTCTTTCAAAAATCTGATCGGTAAAAAAAACGAATTCAAGCAAATTATTTTAAAATAACATATTTTAACGAAACCGCATAATAAGGCATTTTCAGAATTCCTTTACCTTAGGATATAAACCAATAACAAGACATTTTTTAAAAATTTTAACGACTGAAATCTCCTTTTTTTTCTGCTTTTGCAGTAAAACCCCTGGATGTCCGGATAACAAGTATCCAGAGGCCTTTCTCAGCAGGACGAAAAATTCAACTATTCTGTGAGAGCTCAGGTGCCCGCCCCAGGGCCCAACTAACCTGGTGGTTGGACAATAAACGTATTCAAGCGGGGAAGGAAACGTTTTCGGATAATCTTACTTCCACATCACTCAACTTTCTACCGAAAGCTGAAGACAATGGGAAAATTCTATCCTGCAGGGCTCAGAACCCTTCATTGTCTAACAGTGCGATTGAAGACGGATGGACATTGACTGTTTATTGTAAGTACCTTTTTTTCTTCCATTTTATACTTGTTAGAATGCTTTATTTGCCAAAATAATCTTACAGAAATAGTTAGAGAAATGTGATTAAATTTTGTTGAAATCTTATGAGAAAATGACTGATGTTCCTTTTTTGGTAGCGTTTAAAATGCAAATGAATAAGTATGTTATGCTACATTGCATAGTATTTCTTTTCGTCATTGTAGCACATATTTAAATAATATTTTTTTCCTTTTTGTAAAAGTCGAATTTTTGCAATATTTTTCGTTGTTATTTTTTACTTTTAGAATTTTTAATGCGATGTTGATCTATTTTTTAAAAAAAATAAACGAAGATCGTAATTTAATAATTTCAAAATACTTTAAGTTAGAATTGTTGCATATTTATTAAACAATATGCAAAACTTACTTTTTATGGAACGCAATAGGTCGAATTTTATTAGACAATGATCAAATTCCAATAGCATTACTCACTGCTTTTGGCAGTACTTAAATCAATGCTTTTATATAAGATAGTATAAATGCATCTGGTACTAAACAATCTTTTAAGTATGCTACAAAAATAGTTTGAACTCACTTAAATTATTTTACAGAAATTTTCTCTCAAAAGAATCAGCTGCAGTGAAGCTTTTATCAATTAATAAAAGTAATGACTGACGCATTTCAAATAAGAAATTCATATGATGCTTACTTCAAACAGAAAAATAGTTTATTTTTATGCACCATGAAATAAACCATTTGATTAAATGAATCAAACATGAGTTACCAACGTCTCAGCGTCAATTAAAGAAAAGTGTATAATATTATTTTAACATACTGAACACAGTTCATCACCGCCAGCACAACCATCAGTTAGACAAAAACATTTGAAATAATACGGCAGTTAAAAGTACGGGTATTTTTGAATACCGATCAAAAATTGATAGATCAATACGAAGGAACATTTAGTAAAGATTAAAAGAGTCTCAAGGAAAATTCCAACTCCATTTTCGAATTTTTGTTAAAACGGTAGAAGTGGCAAAGTAGAGCACTTAATGCCGGATAATTTCTGTCCTCATAATGAAACCATGTAATTGGAGATCGAAATGAGAGGGAAATTTGCTACCTTCCGTATCTCTATATTATTTCAAGGGAAGAAAATTGATGCCGAGAATTTACAGTCAAAAATCTTAAAATATGGTATTTAACTGTGCTGTTTTAATGGAAAATATGTAAAAAGGGATCCTTATACGTATGATTGCTAATTCATCACTGGTTATTTCATCACATTTTGGAATAGCAGTTTTATTTACTATATAAATTGATTTCTTTTAAGTTCTTCATTTTTCCTGCTGAATATCAATTTTTCCATTTTTTTCCCCTCGCTGTTGCTCACCGGCTCCTATAACTGTCACTCTGTATCTATAAGTCTTTTCAGATTTCTCCGAGACATGAGCTTAAAACGACAATTGTAATCTTCTATCGAAGAAGTATTAAATATTTGTGGAAAATTCTAATTTGTATTTTATAACAAACGAAACTTTTAAAATTCGATTATATTGCTTTTACAGTGAAACATATGAAAAATTTGTTCATTTCATGGATAATAAGACAAAGAAATTTAGATTAAAATACTACTTGGTTGTGGAACATTAGAAGCATAGTTTTTAAGATAGTTTGATATATCTGGGAAAAGGTAAAAACAAAAGTATGCTTATTGGCCGGAGAATATGTCATTACGTAACTGGTTTCGTTTCTTTATAAGGGGAGAAATAGCACAACGGAATTTGTATCCCAGAAACTATACCCGTTGCAAGTTGAGAAATGACCATTGCTGTATAGGATTTAAGTAATCATCTGCGACTGCATGTAATTCCATTTTATTTCGTTATCAAATTATACAAATATGCTTTCAAAACAATATAAGAGCTTTTCAAAAATATGTCAGTCCGAAATTTAATTCCTGCCATCTTTTACGAAATTATTAATAAGAAATGGTTATAGTTTCATAGTCTTATTTGAATTCCAGACTTGGTGATCTATTTCAGTAACGAAGGAGAACATTCGTTCTTGAAAAAGAAACATCTATATGACGTTGCATTGGATTTAATTGGACCACTAAAAATGGCGCGCCTTATGCTGACATTCTCTTAACAAATCAAGTAAGAGATGAAGAATTTTTACTTTTGTTTCGCTGTCTAAGAAAATCGTCTGCAAGAAGCAATACTTATTATTCTTTCATCAGTTTCTTTAAATGAGAACAGAAAGACGCATTTTTGCCATTATTTTTCGTTATCATTTTCATTAATTATCATTACTCGTTAGTTGATTATTGTTGTTAATAAGGAAGCAGGCAAAAAGGAGGCTCTGCAGCATGTTTTCAAGACTTAACGATGTTGAAATACGTTTGTGCTGGGAGTTTGACATTCATTCGGCACTTATATGCAAACAGGCTTTCTCGATTGGATAATGGTTTTTTCTTAACTTGCAACAGTGTATAGCACTGTCTTTACAGTGAAAAAAACTTCAGTTGACGCTACAATACGGCAAAATACTAGAAAAATCCCTCCAAAAAGCAAAGCTATAATTATTAAACTTTTTTCCTTGGATATCCAAGTAAACGGTCAGAAAGTTATTACTATGTACCAATGTAAAAAAATGTCTTCATCTTGAGTACTGTACCCAACGTTAAAAGAATAAACATAATTTGAATCTTTAAAATTCTTACTGAAGCAATTGTTTACAATATTCACCAGCTGCAGCGTAAATGTATTCCAACAAATAAGTCGAATGTATTCAATACAAGCGATTTTTTAGAATGTAATTTTTTTTCAATTTGGCAACGTTCTAGATATTGTACATGCGAATTCCTGATTTTTTTTGTAAAGCATATATAATTCTTCACAAGCTTCTTAGAAATTATTTTTTGAACTTTGCCAAAGAGTTGAGTTTGTCATATTGTTAATTTTATCACCGTAGGTGTAATGTTTAAATGAAATCAAGCAGCTTAAAAAAGTGAATTGATTTTTTTTAAAATTAGATGAACAAGCTTTCTTTTTATTCAAAATTTTTAATTTACTTTTCGACTCCATAGCATGTTTAAAATCATTTCTTGTATACATTTTGGTGGCTCAGAGAATAGAGCGTTCGCCTGCCTATGAGGTGAACCGAGTTCGAATTGTAGCAATGGCTGGTGGATACGAATTCCAAATCAAACACAGTGCTGGCGTAAAAGTACCCTCTGTGGTAAACGGATAGGTTGGATTTCCCTTGTTGTCGGGCTAACGATGGGAGGTTTTCGTGGTTTTACTCTTCCTATATCGCAAATACAGATTAGTTCCATCAAAAATTCGTTCACTAATTTCTACCAATACTTGATCCAGAACTTCTCTTGTCTTCTGGATTGGGTTCAAAATTACAAGGCTACGGAGTTGAACATTAGCAGTCTTAAACCCCAAATTGGGTCGGTTATTCAACGACTGTTATAAAATAAAATATCAGATACTCAAATACAAGATACACATGATTTTCAAAGATGCAGTACTACTGTGAAATCTATGCTATTTCAAAATTTATACGCATTTTTCGTACACTTCGATATCGATAAATTAATGAAAAAATTAAACAGATCTGCTACAAAATAACTTCAGATTTTCCCGAACACTACTGATTTAAATTGTTGTAAACTTTACCAGAAGTGCATTCTTACCGTTTTAAAAACTTTACAAGAATTAAATTGAATTTGATAATTTTTTAATTTTGCAAAAATGTAAATCACAGTTTATACATATTAGAAAATTGGAATTTAAATTAATTTTTAATCTAGTAAAGTCTTGTCAAAAATGATTCAATGGAGCAAAAATATTGTGCCACTAATCTCTACGCTCCATAAACTTTAAATTTTCCTCCATTGCGAATTCTAATCTTGGATTTATCAGAACATAGAACTCATCTGAACAGTCACATGACCCGCCTCAGAAGGAGGCATCCGGGAAGACTGAAAACCATCGTTGGAGAACCCTCGAATCGTACGGTGGACCCGGCGGAGCATGGACACAAGGTTTCATGGCCCCGAGTCACGCCCGACAAAAGCAACACTGTCGTTCGACGAACAGAGCTTGTTCCTCGAACAGTCACATGACGCCTTTCTTTCTACGTCAGAATCACCAAGAGAGAGAGCACACGTGACAGAGGGGAGTCTGATGTTAAGGACAGACAAAATAAGGGGAAATATGAGAGCTTGTCCCCGACGTCTCAGGCTTGTCCCTTCGGCCTCCGAAGGGACAAGCCCGGAAGGGATTTTCCAAGTTTTAGTATTCCTTTTCTCATTATGTTCTTAAAAACACTCGGGTCAGTTTGGATTACCCAATTGGTACCATTTAGGGATTTTATGGGAAAGCAGATTTCAAATTTGCCGTATACCATTTCGTTATTTTGGTCGCTTAGCTTCTGCTTTAGCTCTTCTTCTTCCATTTTATTCTCAACGTTAAGGAGTATGACTCTTGGAAATTTCTTTATCGGCAATGAGCACTTCAGTTTGACCCTGGTCTACGATTTCCTCGTGGACTTTCTTCACGTCTTTCTTGGAAACCATTCGAACTACAATCCCGCCTTCCTTGATTGGTCTTATGTTTCTGACGCCAATAGCAAGCGCTGCTGGATCAATGTACTCTTTTAGAGTTTTTTCAGTCTCTTCAGAGGTGCCCGGGACAACCGGACGAACAACCAGCACGTGGTTCGGAGCCACACTAAAGCTTCCAATATTGTTTGCCAAATTGCGGTCAGTTAAAAGCAAGACATCGTGTATAAGAATGCACAATGTCGTTTTAGGAGTGTCGTAAATATTCCCATATATCACAAACTCGCTGAAATTCAGCATCAATGAATACGATGTCGATTCCATCCCAGTGGACAACTAATGGACGTCATTTCCACATCATTGATGACTACGTTTAAAAAGCAGCTACGTTAAAAGCTACGTTAAAATGCAGTTCTCAAACTCGTAGACAGATGGCAGCACTACACGACAACACCGACTCATTCCATAATTCGCTTTGACACGGCAAATATACTTTTCTTGGTCACAATTATCTTCAAATCCTTTGACGTCACTTGTGCAGACATATACCGTAAACCACGCTTGTGATTCTGTTATGAAAACTTTCTAAACTGCTTTTTTAGAGAAAAAGTCTGTAGTGTTTCTTCTGGTAATTCAGTAACCAGAAATTTCATGACATGATTTTTCTTTTTATCAGTGAACCTCAAAACTTCTTAAGTCCACTGGAAAAAATATGAATCTTTCCTTAGACATCTGTAGATTCGCTTTACCGCAGCAACACTTGTACAAACTTGTCTATTATATTACGACAATTAAAAAACCTAATTAATGTAATTTTGGATAAATATTTCTTATATTTTTAGAAATAGATTCAAGCATTTTATTGCATACTTATAAAAAAAACGATAGAATATTTATTACATTGATAAGGAATAGTAATATAATAAATCATATAAAGCTTTTTACCCGTCAAACTTTTATGTATTTCAAGATTTTTACAACACAGCAAAATGCATTCAGAACCAAATTTATTTCAGACGCACTTTCAGATAAATAAAATAGATGAATAAGATTTGATCTAAAATTTTTGCAGTTGTGCCAGAGTTGAAGCTTTTTCTTGGAGCGAATATTCAAGCAGACGCCATAAAGGAAGGGACGGACGTCTTTTTCGAATGCAACGTCAAAGCCAATCCATGGGTGAATGAAGTGAAATGGCGTTTCGAGGGATACCCCCTTTACGGGAATACAACTGCTGGCATCATTGTGTCCAACCATTCCTTAGTTCTTCAAAGAGTTCGAAAAGAACATAGAGGAAGTTATCAATGCATAGCTGTCAATACAGAAGGAGAAGGAAGGAGTGATGAAGTTATGCTGAAAGTAAAATGTAAGTAATATTGATTTATGTCAAGCTTAAATGCAGGAAAATTCTTTCATACTGATATGTTTCATAAAAGTGCATTTATCTTTTCATGCAATACAGATGCTGGGAAGAAATAGTTTAAATTAAATTTCTTATTTTATACATTGTCCCCCATTTATGTCCTACATTCAGACATATCACTCTTGTTTATGTCTCTTGCAAGAATTATAAACAATCACATAATTATTTTCTCCTGCTCTAAACTCCAGAAAAACTTGTGTTTCTTCCTACGAAGAAGTGTGGTGATTAATATTTTCTATTAAATTAAATTATCTCAAGAAAGACTAAATCAATCTATATTACAAAACATCTATGCCATGAAATACCACGAAACATCAATGCCTATAAACAATCTATATCATAAAACAAAGTGAGTCTCTTGGAGTTGAATAATATTCTATTTAGGAGTTTCTTGAAGTAAAACATTTGCTACCCTTCCTGCAATTTAATCAAAAGAAACAATTGAATGAAAGGTTCAATAAAATTTAGAGTAATTGTTAATGCTAGTTTAATTAGAGACTTCTGAATGTCGTTATAATTTTTTTTAATATTTTGTACTGAATTCGTTATATTGCTCAACCGGTTACAACAGATTTCTTTTATGCCCTCCAAGTGGCACATTAAAGTTTTTTTTTCTTCTGAAATTTGAGGTTCAACACAATCCTAAATACTCACTCCCTTGGCGAATTGAATTTCCGAGAGAAACAATGAATTATATTTCGTTCTATTATGCTCCCCAAAACCATTTTTGTTAAAAAAAAATTTAATTATGGGTTTGTTGATGTTAATAGCTTCGAATAATCTTAGATGGTGTAAGATCATATCTAAAAATCATTTAACATTTAGAAAGCTGATAACGTGAGACGGGAAGAAGAAACTCACTCTTTCCAGAAAAATCCCGAAACAGACCTCAGTCAAAGCCAAGTGTTTTCTGTCATTTGGGGCAAAGAGCATAGGCTTTATTATATATATATATAATACAAAAATTTAATACTTTTGTATTAATAAAAGCATTAAAACTTCATTCGTTTTCATAAAATATCTTTGGTAAAGGATAAGGGTAGAAATTCTATTTTGGGACTTCAAGGCTAAAAACATGCCAATGAATAATAATTAGATTTATACTTCGAAGGAGAAGTTATTTTAAGATCCTTCACTTCCATATAAGGAAAGATTAAACGATTTGCTATGAGTAATAAATAATTTTGATGAGGCGTAAGAATACAGAAAAAGGCAATAATGACTGGCCTCTTCACAACTTTTAATCATCCCATATAACGCAGGAGCAATGTTTTTGCGCGTGCTTTTTGTTGTTTATCATGCTTAAATAAAATCCGTCAGCTTAGACGGGATATGTGTCTCCCCCCATCTCCAGATTGGAGGGGGCTGAGATGTATGATTTCACCATCGCTACTAAATAAAAACGATTATACACAGCATGGACTCATTAATCATGCTGCTTTGATTACTAAGTAACTAAAAAATATCGGTGGGGATCCACCGGTATTACAAGCCGCACAGGATTGTGGCTTCGCGGATGAAACTATAATATTGCGAACTAGGCCTAACGTGACTGCTACTTCGTCGAGAAATGAGTTTTTCACCCCCTTGGATTGAAGAAAAAACTTCATTGGACTCCTGAGATTAAAAAGTTGTCGATTGTGAATCGCACTTCCCATCCTAGACACCCGGAAGAAATCGCCTAACTCCGTTCTGAAGGATTCCTTCATCAAAAATCTGTTCCTTATCGCTACTGGAATGCTGATGCCTGGAGACAGACCGTTCTCTTTTGTCTGAGTCTTGAAAGAAAGTGTGACTGTTTTAAGTGCCCAAGAATCACAATTGAAGTGTGCGATTTATGCGGGTTTGTGCTTTATTGAAAGTCCTAATCCAGAAAATGATACTTAAATTTAAATTTTTAAAATGAACTTCTTTAAAAAAAGTTTTGGGGCAAACTGAACATACAACGAACTTTTTTTATGCTCGTTCCTCAATCTGTCACAAATTTTTCGAGAGCGTTTAGTAATAATATATTTGTAATGTGCAAAACCGTACTAAATTCTAGACACATAACCTAGTTTGAATGGCTATGTCTTAAATTGTAACTAAAAGTATATATACTGCACATTTAACAGTTATTCATTTATTATTTACAGTCCAAATCACTAGCACAAAAGTTCAAATGGATTTTAACTCATATCATCTCTTAGAATCTAATATATTTTTGAGCTTTCTAACTTAAAACAAAATGAAAATGCTGTGTAATGCAGTTGGGGAAATAGATGTAATGCATTGATGAAAAAAAAAGTTTTGATTTTTTTTATTTAGTTCTAAAGAATATTTTTAGTTTGAATTCATCGGATGAGATAAAACTGGCAAATATGAGGAGAAAAAATACCGAAATAATTGTTTTCAAAATTCAATTGAAATTTATTCTAGCCAATACGGAAAATGAAGAAAAAAAAGCTTTTTTTAGTTTCATAAATTTCTTTTCCAACTGGAAAGATTGTATCTGATAAAAGGAGGAATTCTTTATTCTACAATGAAAGCAAGAATAGACTATATTGCAGGTGCCAACGCCAGGTCATGCATGAATTTCAAATAACTCTCTGTTATGGACATAAAAATGATTTCCTACATTCTGATTCAAAAAGGAATTCTTCGCAGTTATTGCAACTATGACATGTTGTTCACAACATTCAGTCACTGAAAATCATTTTTTCTTGATGTTTATTCAGTGTATTGGTTATAAAAGTTTCATGCCCAAAAAATGTGTTATTTTATGACAGTTGTAACATTTTTATATGTTCTCCAGTGAAAGAAATCTTTATATGTATTTAAAAATGCGCATTTTCTAGCAAAAATTTTAAATTGATTATATCAAAATTATGACATTTTCTATTAATTTTTCTCAGAATGCATTGTTTTTATAAAATTAAAAATATAAATATTAATTTTCAAATCTAAAAATATATATATATAAAATAAAAAAAGGATTAAGATTCTCGGAGTTTATGAATTTAAATATTTGCCCAAAAATGTTAAAGAATTTACATTTTGTAAAAATAACAAGATTTTTTAAAATATTTTTGTGTTTATGAATCATTTAAAAAGTACCAAATTTATTTCAGCAGCAAAATCCTACATAGTAGATTTATGGATAATTCCAGTTTCATATTGTCTGGAAAGAAACAGACATTCTTTATTTTACTATGAAATCAAGAGTTGCCTAATGTAGGGGCCAATTTTTATGGCCCGTTATGGTCATAAACGTTATAGTCATAAATATTATTTTTACATCCTGTAACATAACGAAATTTTCTGAAGCTCCTGCAACTTTGACATATTGTTGTCCAGGAGTTCCCTTGTTTTCTGGATAGGGTTCAAAATTACAAGGCAATGGAGTTGAACATCAGTAGTCGTAAACCCATAATTTGGTCGGCTGTTCAACGACAGTTATAAAATAAATTAAAATATAGTAGTTACGAATCGTATGTTTAGCAAAATGAAAAAAAAAAGAAAATTATTGTCAAAAAAACTTTTGAAGGTTCATTTAAATTGCTGTGCAATGTGATATTACATAAAACCTTTAATGATACAGGGTATTCTGTAATTACCGCCCTCATATTATGGGCACATTTGGAGCCAATTTTGCTTTAAACTTAAAAAACGAAAATACTGTAAATTCTCTCAAATCTCTATTGAGTATAGTAAGATTAAGAGAACTGATTGTGTGATTGAGTGAAAAAACAGGAGCTCAAAGTTGTGTTACGACCTCATTTTTTTAAATTCATTTTTGACAAAGATTTTAGAAATATGTATTATCAACGTTTAATTATGGGCGCACTTGTAAAGATTTGCTCTTAAAGTTAAAAAAAAAAAGTAAAGCTCCATAAAACTAAAAAAACTGTTTTTAATTTTAAAAATAACTTTTAACACGTCTAATACTAGTATAATTTTGTATTCTACCACTTTGATAACTAAGCCAATAATATAAAAGAATCTATATTTCATGAAATTATAAAGCTTTTCTCTTTCGTGTTCGAATTGTTGGTAACGTTACTAAACTATTTCAACTGAAAATAGGAACATAATATTCTAGAGTAAAATAAACATTCCGAAAAATAATTCAATTTACATAAAATCGATATATTATTTTCGCTGGAATCCAAGCATTACTATAAACAGCCAGAGAAATTCAGCTATATAAAATTTGGTTTTAATATTGGAAATTTACTATTACGATGAACTTCATAGAGAGTTATTGAAATCTAGTTATATATTTTGAAGGTATTATTGATTCACGTTTTCATGAAATATACACATAGTTTGAATGAAGTTTTCAAAATAATATTTCCTGTTATAATTTTAACAGAAATATTTTATCGGATTCTAGCTTTCTTCTAATGGATTATATTGGAAGTAAATTGCTAAATGGCCTTAAGTAATATGAGAGTAAATTATAGCAACAAACGTCTTTTAAAAATGCCAACCAAATATTTCAAGACAGCAATTTTTTAGATTTTTGTAATATAGATAAAATCATCGTTTTGAGATGTACAATGTGCTCGGTGCCTTTGATCTAATGACCGGATCTTCACCTACCAGGACTTATTCTTAATAATTCGAGATGGTGATATCATATACTCCAATTGATCTGTGCAGACGATGTTTTAAGTTACGAAATAAGACACAAAAAGGCACTTTCTCTGACTTATGAATTAGGGTTTCTGACTCTTAAAATATTGGGGTTAGGCACAATCTGGGAAATATGGTCCCAATAGTTCAGTCAGAGAGCGGTCTAATGCTTACACCACTTAATGTTAGTTTTGCTCCTTCGTATTTCGTCACATCTCAAGAACTTTCTAAGGGATTTGAAAAAAGTTCTGTACTCCTTGTCCAAAGGTAATTCCTTGGGGAAAACAACTTCATATAAATTTATATTTATCAATATAAATTACTACTTTTTATTTTTTATTTCATAAAAGTTGAAAAATTTTTGAATTGTACGTATACAATTTTTTGCATCATTTTAAAGAATGTAATTTTAAATGACAAACTACGTAATTTGAGAGAAATTCGGATAGGATTATGAGAAATCTAATTTTAAAAATATGTTTTTCTTTACGACTTAAGACTTACTCAAATCAGGGCTTTATGAAACAAATCATTAAACAATTTTTAAATCCCAGAAAAAACATTACAGCAGAAAATTGGGCCAAATGCTGAACCATATTATAGATAGAATAATATTTCGGTACAAATTTACTGAATCAATAATAAGGTGCAAAACTTTATTTCCCTTCAAGTTTAACCATAGTAATCAAGTTTAAGAAGCACACTTATAAAATTCAACGTAATGCCATATTAATATTTAAGAAAATTCGACCAATATAATGGTTCTAATTTGAATGAAAAGTTATTTCTTCATGCATATAATATACTTTAAAACAGAAAAGCTGTGTATGTAATCTATAGAAAGAACTCCACTTGCCATTCACCTGGACCAGTGACGGTGACTATGAGGTTGACGAAACTACAAATGGTTACAAGAGTTGATATTTGACAAGTTGAAGTGATAAAGGGAGTTAGGGGAGAAAAAATCTTCTCTCTGTGAAATGCGCATTTTTTTTTCCATAGCATGACCTTAGGATGACCTTAGACGTTCTGGCAAGGGGATTTTTTTCCGTAAATAAACTGTACATATTAAATAAAAGAACAGTGTACAAGATTAAATAAAAACACTGAACCAGAAAAGTCTTAAAACCTGTCATTCATTTCAGATGCTCCCGTTTGCCGGCATGCAGGAGTGACCGTACATGGGGTGGCTCGTTACGAAGCTTTGAATGTCAGCTGCGAAGTTGAAGCAGACCCACCGCAAGTCAAATTCAAGTGGTCCCTTAACAACACTGTTGAGAACGTTGATATACCACCTCAATCAACAAATATGACCGTCAGCACGATAACCTACACGCCACGAACTATGCTAGGTTACGGGGCACTGTTATGCTGGGCCCAAAACAGCATTGGCCATCAAAAAGATCCATGCCTTATTAGAATTATTCCAGCAGGTAACTGATTTAGTAATCACTATTAAATTTAGATTTTTTTTATTAGGAGCAGTAATTAACTATATTTTCATCCCACTGGCCGGTAGTATTATCAACAAGAATAAAAGTAACTAGTACATTTAAAAAATACTTGAAATAAATCTTATTGCACGTTTTAGTTTTATTTTTAAACGTGTTTGGTAATATGAAAAGAAAATAATAAGAAACTGATACCGTTTATGTGTAAAAAGAAAACAGTAAAAGATTTTTTTTATTGGATTTAAATTATATCTAAGTGGGCAGCGGTACATGGATTTCATCAGTGAAAAAATATGATATTTTTCTGTAAATAAAGAATGTAAGTAATTTTTTACACTTATATGATTTCCTGTTTTCTAACGACAAAACTACGGTAGTTATTGGTAATTAAAGAGTCTTTCATGTAAAATAATGTGATGAATTTATTAGTCTAATCAGAAAGATAATCCATCGAATCCATATTTTGCGTAATGCCTGATATAGGAAGTTTTTGATCTTGAAAAAATAGAAAACTATGGAAGCCTTCCATTTAAGAGACAGTTCAATTACAATCAAAATTTCCACTTACAAACTTTTCAAATTTTAGAATCTTATTTTGGAGCGCCCCATTATATGCTATGAGGGTCATGTTTTATGACAAAATGCAGGATTGTTCTATGTGACTGGCACCCATTAACCAGAAACTGAAAGTGTGAAGCCGCCAATGTGGCTTGAATCTTGGTCTTGTAGATTAAAAACGTAGTGCATTTAACCACTATATCATCATGGTTCAATAAAAGCTCTATACCTCTGCAATTTCAGCTTGTTTTCATTAAAAAAAATAACAAAACTCTTCTTTGCATTTTCCATAATAATCGGTAAAGATATAACATGATAAGTAATAAAAAATAATTTACAATTATCCTAGTTCCATGGTTGTTTGAAGAAGAATTTGTAATTCATAACTGAAGTATTAAAAATAGCTACTCTGTTCACATAATTTCTAATCCTTATGCATTGCGATAATAAGTTATCGATCTTCTTGTAGCAATTCATATCGTTTTACTTAATTACTTTTACGATTGCAATGACTGAGACTCTTTTTTCATATAAATGAACTTTTTCTTCATAAAGAAATATTTTCCCGAAAGTTAAAAAAGGAAAGAAGAATATTTTAAATTAAAGTTGTTTTCAAACCTTACGAGAATTAATTCAAATTTTATTCCGTGAATAAGTTGGATAACCCATGTTGTATAAAATTGTTGTTAACCCATGTGGTATTAAGGTGTATAACCCACACGGGTCTTAAAGCTTGCAAATATACTCAGCTAAACAAAAAGAAATCTAAATCATATTGAGTTTTTTATACAGGAATCAACACAATAAATTACATTGTTTTTCCTTCACTCATCTATAATACTATACTCTTGATATTTATAAAACCGAAATGGTTTAAAAGATTGATCACTCACTTCCTGTTTAGGTATTTCAGACGCTGGCTAGTTCAGAAAGTAAAACTTATACTTTGTTTCTTATTCATTACTATTTGTTGAAGTTTTTATCTCGGAAATTTGCTGCAATTTAAACAATGAACAACAAAACGTAACAAAATAGCTAATCTTTTAATCCTGAAGAAATTTTATATAATCCTTGGGTTCAATTAAGATTGAAAGAATGTTCAAGTAATATAATATGGTCCAAAAATCTCGATAAGGCTCCAACATTCAACCGATTTTGAGTGAATAAGGGTTTTCAATTTAAACGTGGAAATGAATCATCTTTATGCATTATTGAAGTTTTAGCAAACATTTTCAGCTAATAGAGATCGAATCCCACGTGGTGTTTAACTTAATCATATATTTCCTGTGGATACATGTTAAAGCAAAAAAATTAAAATTACTAAAATATTCTTATTTGCCTTCACAGTGGCATAAACCTCTGTATTGATCTCCAACATTTAGCCGTATGCTTGCAAAAAAATTCGTTTCCAAATATTGCTCTTTATAAACTTGCTTGTTTTTAAAAGCAAATACGTCTAATTCCACAAGACTTAATTAAATAATTGCACTGCTAAAAGAAAGTACTTGAATAATGGTCGTTACTTCGAAATTTCTTGGATCGCTTAAACTTAGTATGTTTACCAAAGTTGCGTCCTGCTGTTATGAATTTCCATCAAAAATTAGCTATCAAATTGTGTTAACGCGAACTCTGAAGAAGAACAACGAACTGTTAAAACATGAGATATAATTTAATTTCGTTAATCTTTGACTTATTTTCTTTTCTAAGTTAAGTATTATTTTGTGTTCAAGACAGTAATAAATTAGCGATGCCCGTCTTTGTGAGCGCTAGTTCTGTAGCGTGGGCGTTCTGAGAAGTAATTTTTTTAAACAATGCCTAAATTTATATCCAGTATCAATTTAATACAAACATAATATATTTGTAAAGATAAAACTATTTGATTTTCGTCAACGGTAAATGCAAGTCATAACATAAGATCTCAAGTCCATTTTGTTTTCTCGATGTGTGATAATGTTTTCTTTTTACACTATTGGTTAACTCTCCATTCAGTATCCTTATTTGATCTTATTTTGTGTGCAAGACAATAACAGATCTATGATGTCCTTCACAGTGCGGACTAGTTTTGTAAGTTTTGCTCTCTGTGAAGTATTTTTTAAACAATGCATTGGTTTATATCCACTAAAGATTTAATACAAACGCAATATATTTGTAAAAATGTGTTTTTAAACTATTTAATTTTCGTTTACGGTAAATAAATATTACCATGAACTGAAGATCTCAGAGCTATTTTGTTCTCTTGATATTTGATAGCTTTTTGTCTTTATAACACTATTGCTTTACTCATTTTCATTTGGTATTACTTTTTTCTGTAACACAATAATAAATCTGAGATGCCCATCACCGTGTAAGATGGCTCTGTAACTTGAGAGCTCTTTAAAACTTGACTTGTAACTTGAGTGCTCTCTTTTATAAAACAGTGCATCTATTTATATTCAGTACGAATTTAATACAAGCTACAAGCATAATTTACTGTGAAAAATAAAACTACTTGGGTTTCTTTTACTGTAAATAAATGTAACCAGATAACATCTCAAGGCCATGAGTGATAGTGTTTTCCTTTTTACACTATTATTCAACTCTCCTTATTTGATCTGTAAGACAATTATAAATCTGCAGTGTGCACTAGTTCTGAAGCTTTGACGCTCTGTGAAGCATTTTTTTTTAATCAATGCATCTATTTATATCGAGTAAGAATTTAACACAAACATAATACATTTGCAAAAAATTTGTTTTTAAACTATATAATTTTCGTTTACTGTAAATAAATGTTACCACACAAGATCTTAAGGGTATGTTATTTTCTCGATATGTGATAATAGCTGTTTTCCTTTTTACATTATTGCTTAACTCTTCATTCAATATCCTCATTTTCTTATTAGGACCACCAGAGTCTGTAAAGAGTTGCGTGGTATCAAATCAGTCAGTTTCCTTTTTACTCGTCGAATGCGAAGCTGGTTACGACGGTGGAATGAAACAATCTTTTCATCTAGAAGTATATAACTCCGCTGTAGAACACCTTCAGGCAAACGAGTCTCAACAGGATATGCCAGTATTTCAAGTTGGCAACTTGCCAGCTGCTACATCTTTTATTCTAGTCCTCTATGCATCTAACGCCAAAGGAAGAAGTAATTCTGTAGCCCTTATGACAAACACATTAATGCCAGCAGAGAGAAGAACAGATAAGGAAACCACAAATGGTAACTTCATTTTCCTGAAAGTTTGCTTTTTAAGATGATTCACCTGTGGCAATATCATTTATGAGCTGATGCAAAATAAAGTGACGAATTTCCCTTGGTTATTTAAGAATGCATTGTATAGATATTTAATGGAATTTGATTATTATTTAAGAGTATTAGTTTTCGCCGTTTGCACCGAAGGAAAAAACAAACGTTCAAATGTGTTTTCTTATATGAAGAATATATATTTAATTCAAGTCAATTATGAATCATAATGAAAAATAATGTTAAAATTTTGCTGGTCTGTAAGAGGGGTTTAAAAATAAAAATCCAGGTGTTGAGAATTCTTGGCAATTTAATCCATATTTCCTTGTTGCTCTATGCAGAACACGTTATGAATAGAAGGAAGAATCATGCAGGAAAATATTCCTTTTAGGTGCTGTAACTCAAAGCTGTAGCTTTCATTAAAAACTGTAGATTAAAAAATATATTTATTGATAAGTCTGAATTAGTTATGAAAATTTTCATCATGGTTTAGAGAAGTATTAATAGCATTTAAGATAGTCTCTTTAGCCATTGGACTTAACACGTTTTGGATTAATAGATGTTAGATATTTTTTGCAAAGCAGCATATCTAAATCATGTGTGATGGGAATGTTGCTCAAAATGCTGCCCATCAGTAGCATTTTGTTACTAAACAAAGTAGTGATAAATGCGCAATAAGTGTACAAAAACAGAAGACATTTTTACTTTCTACAAATAATTTTCATGATGATTCTTTTTTTATTTATTTAATTTTTTACCCGCCACTAAACTGTAATACTGCAAATATATTCTTAAAAAGGGATGAAGAAATTGACACTATCATGTAATCTATTCATTTTTTTCAGATCCAAAGGAAGAAGTTACCAACATTAGTCCAATTTTAGCAGTTCTTATTGGAATTGTCGCAGTTCTCGTCATCTTGGCTATTGTAATTATCATTATCATGCGAAGACAGGGAACCGATCCAGAGAAACGTAAGTACAGTGTATCCATCATTAATGTTGGAAATTATGATAAGTATGAGTCACAAAATGTGTAACAGAATTTCAGGAAAATCGGGTTGTGACTTATTAAAATGTTAGTAATTTTACAAATCAGAAAATTTAGTTCCTGAAACTACCACTAGATGGTGCATTTCCTTACAACTTGACTTTGCAGATGACCTAGTTTAAATCTTTGTATAATATTATAATATTATTTTTATTATTTTGTTTTAATTTACCATCTAAGTAAAGTTAAATAAATGAGTGTTTAATTATTTTTATTTGTAAATGGATTAGTTAAGAGAAAAACTTAATAACATTTACTACAGGTGTGTCAAAAATCTTATATAATAGAAATGTTTATTAAAAATTTCCACCACTTGTGAAAAAAAAAGTTTCTCTTTACTCTCAAAGCGAAACATTTTATTAAAATTAATGTTAAACCATTGCTTTGAATTTTAATAAACAATTGAAATAAAAACTTTTATTTTTGAGTAACTTAATTATTTAAAGTTGGAAGATTATATAAAATCAAATATCGATGTTTTTGTAAAAGAAATCAAGATAATATTGCATTCATCTGTATCTTTAGGCTTTATGATATAGACTGAAACTCTTTGAACTGGTAAATACAAAGCATGTCTGAAACAATAGTACTTTTTTTGTTCTACCGCCATCGCAACGATAGAGCCGCAGTTTCGGACAAAACGCGCATGCGTCTCCCGACTATCCACTTACGCCATTTTGGCTGGATTGTGCTGAGCTTTCGCGTGTTTATATGGTGTTAATGTCAAAATGTCAAAGACCATTGCTGATCCCAATGTATTACCTCACAAAAATTGAAAGTATTTTTGAGGTATCAAGGTTGATTTGAGGTTTATTCGAAGCAGATTTCAAAAACAACCTTAAAAGATCAACCTCGTGTACAATCAAGGTGTGTGAAGTTGTTTCATTTACACTAGAGGTTGTTTTGAGATTGATGAAAATCTACTTTAGAGCAACCATCTTAGGGAGGTTGTTTTTGAGATGTATTTATTATTTTTGTTACACTTCAAGCAAATACGTATATTTGAGGTGTGAATAATAAATTACTATCTAAAATAAAACTACTTTTGAGTTATATATGAGGTTGATTTTGTGAGGTATAAATGAGGCTGAAATTGAAGTTTATGAATGAGGTAATTTTTAGTGCAAAACATAATTTCCTTTTCTGAATCATATATATTTTTTTTACAACTGTTAACCTCAAAAACACCTTATTTTCTTGTAAGGACTCTGTAATACGGTTTCTTGAAGCCGAGATGTTTCATTATCTGAAATTTGAGAGAACCCATCTGAAATTTGAAATTGAAGAGATTAATGGTAAAAATATAATGAGTGATGTAATGATCAAAAGCTAGGTTTGACAATTCACGAATATCATGCCAAAGCAGGGATTGGGTAACCTTCTGTTGCCAATGATTGTTCGGTTAAAAAAGAGGAATGGGTAAATGATCGCAGAAAGAATGCTCTGCGATGAGTTTCCCTAAATTTAAAAAAACTGCTTTGCGTCTCACAAATCGACAACGAAGCAAAGAATGGTAATCAGAATTTGCTGCTTCCGCTGGCAGCAAATTCTTTTCTTTAAAGAAGGAAAAACAAGTTGATTTCTAGTTAGGATAAATGCCTGAGCGATGTGGGTAAATATTCTGAAAAATTGTTTCCGATGTGATCAGTTGGCAAAAACTGTTTGCTTGCGCCTCAAATCATATACTGTGAACGCATATACTGTATGATATAATATATCTTATAGTCAAATATAATTAGTGTAGTTTCCCGTTTTACAAAAAAATAAATAATTTTTGATAATTTTTTTTTGTTTATTATTCATAAAGTTACAAATATTCTTTGAAAATATACTAAAACAAACTATTTAATTTAAACAAATAAGTATATTTCACTTTAGGACATTTAGAGTTAAAAAAATTTCTTTTGATCATTTCTTTTTTAAACATATGTAATGAAACTCTTACATATGTTGGAATTTTTGAGTTTGAAATTTTTGGGAAAAACAAAAGTTGATTATTTATGTTTTGATGAAAATGTTAAAATTTTAACTTACGATGTTTGGATTTTTATTTTCAGGACCTCCAACTCAAGAAAATATTATAAAGTAAGTAAAGTTTTTCTGATATTTAATATTATATTAAGTATACAGTTATTATAATATTTCATATTATATTAATTTTCAAAACTAAATGTCTGAATTTGTTTTTAATTACAAGACAATTTTATTTTCTAGATGTGACATGCCGCTCAAAAAGGATACTGATGAAATTCCTGATTCTACCGTTGAAAGTCCAGATGTTATTCCTAATACAAATGAATCACAAGGTTTGTATGTTTTATAAATGAATTAAAGGATAATTAAACTAACCTCAAGACCAGGGAAAGTAGAAAGAAGCACTTCTCCAGATCCGAGAGTATACTTATGCACCCCTAGCAACAATTTCATCTTGACTCCAGTTTGGCTCAAAATTGGGTCAATATTGGTTCTATATGAACATGCACCGAGTGATCGAGATTGGGATGTCTCGATTTCTTTAATATTGCTCCTATACAGGACCAATATCAGCCTTTATGGGGCCGATATAGAGCCTATATTGGCTGGAAAATGAATATAAAATAGCAGGTGAATCTGGAAAATCTATATAGGGCCCATATTGGTTGTAAAGTGGTTGGAAAATATTGGGTGAATCAGATAATTCTATAAAGGACCAATATCAGGAAAATAACGACCCTTTGAACCCTTATTGAGCCAAGATTCTTGAATACCGGTCCAATGAGGGCCTGAGTTATTTTGCTGCCAGTGACGAGATCAGGTTATTTTTCCCACTAAGACTGATTTCCTTTAAAATTCCATCTAAAATCATCACTATAATCAACAACACTTTGCGGTTTGTTATCATTGATTGATTGATTGCAACTGAATATACAGTAATAAAATGTATGTGATATTTATAAAAAAACTGTATCCGGATCAAAACATACAAAATACTAACAAGTAAACCCTTTAACGTAAACTGCCAAATCTACACCCAATTGTCATTTCATCTTTCCCACAACGTCGAAACATAAACCAAAATGCAATACAAGAGTTTGATTAACTAACACCTATGTCAACACCTTATGTCAAAAGAGCTAAACACCTACTGTTGTTTACTTATCAAAATACTCCGTATCAAATAAAATAAAAATAAAAAAATACTCAGGACTAAAGGAGCATATTTAAACCTAAATTCTTATGGGACATCATAATTGACTTCAACTGTCATCCAGTATCGTTCACAACTTGAAACAAACCGTTCCAAATTCAAACAACGCCCAAGCGATTTTGAGCTGTAGTTGTCGTAAGTACTCGTGGGACATGAAGAGAATAATGGTAATTCCTCATCATCAAGCTTAGGTGATCACAACATTGAAGAAGTTAATCGCTATATTGGTAAATAAGATAAATAAAAATTTGAGAATTTAAATACGAAGCAAAACGAAATATAAAGATATTCATGTTAGCAAAAACAGCACTTCATCAGGGGACACACCGCCTTGCAAACATGCTGGAGCTGGAGCCTTTTTGTTGTCCGTGATAAAACCAAATACTGACAGTGCCCTGAAGCCCCATAATGGAAGATAAGATGCAATACCTCAAAAATTCAAAGATTGAAAAGTAAACAAAAATCCAGTAAAACACAATAACACAAGTTAAAATTACACTTAGAAAAAAAAACTGTAACTGACACACTGAAATACAAAAAGGAAGTTACATTTAGAAAAACCAAAATAACGTAAATTGTCAAATTTTTACTACATTAAAGTGAAATTAAATAATACCTGTGCTGACCTCCTTTGAAAAACTTGAAAAAGGCAAAATTCCTGAATCATTAAAATAAAGTGCTGCCATCTATATTCATACGAAACAAAAAATCATATTTTTCACCGCATAGCTATATCGGTAGTTATCTTGATGCGTATATTAACAACGTATATTAACATGCGTATATTAACATTTATTATCCCTAACAAGTACCTATATTTAATTCCATAAACAAGAAAGGGTATTTTAATTTATAAGAATTATTGTTATTGTTTATTTTCTGTGCTAATTCTTCATACCTGCAAATTTAGATGCTATGACCATAGTTTATGTTCTTTTCCTTTTTAATTCGTATAACATATGGTACAGACCTTTTAAAATAATTCAACATACATTTGCTTTTCAGTGTATATATCTGATACAGGGGAAATCACGGAAAAAGATGAAATGACGTATGAATTTTTAAAATCAAGAGACTATTCATACGATTATATCACAGCAGTCCGGTCCAAAAAACAGCATCCTGTAAGTATAAATTAGGAAAGTACAAATTGAAACAATACAAATTAAAACAATACTAATTAAACACATATAAAACTTTAAAAAAGGAAAATTGCTGCATATTGCAGTTTCTAGTTATTTAAATATGTTTTGAAATACATATTTTAATTTTATTTAGAAATAATTAAAGTAATAATGTTAGAGAATTAAAATAACTTCTAGACTATCAGGAGTAGTGTTAAAAATATTGTGTGCCGAGTTGCCATTTCTTAAATTTTCTTAAGCATTTACAAAATTAAAAAAAAATTTCTGGGAAAATTTTGTATGACTTCATTTAAGCCGTGAAGCAATTTTAAAACTGGAAATTTTTATACGCTTTTCAAATATTTATCTAAGTGTTTCTAATTTTTAAAATGTCAAGAGATGAAAATACAAATATTAATTTTTTGCACTTTTGGAGTCTTAACAGCTTTCTAGAGAAGTTTGCTACTGAAAATTTAACATCAAAGATATATTTTATAAATAATTAAGATAAGTTTATTAAGATTTTAAATTTTCTTCAGTAAGAAGTTGTGAAGCAGAGCAAAATCATGTAATACAAAAATAGTATAACGATTTATAATTTTCACTAATAATATTTTATAGTTATAAAGACACATTACTTTTATGATATGATATGATATTTTGATATCATATGATATGATATGAATGATATCATATGATATGATATGAATGATATCATATGATATGAATGATATCATATGATATGATATGAATGATATCATATGATATGATATGAATGATATCAAAATGGTATCAAATATCAAAATCAGATATCGAAGTGATATTTTGATATCATTTTTAATTTGTAAAATGTCATGGGATGAAAATACAAATAGTTACTTTTAACCATTTTGGAATCTAAACAACTTTACAGAGAAGTTTTCGACAAAAAATTAAACAGCAAAAACATATTTTTTACTAATTACCAGATAATATTTTGCTTTAGTAAATGAATATTTAAATTTATTCGCGATGTTGAGGTATTTTTATGTAAAACAAAACTCGTATAACGATCTATAATTATTACTAATAACATTTAACTGTTAGAAGATTATAAAAGAGATATTATTGTCAGTTTCTTTGAAAACGTCATATAATCATAATGTACTTTTAATATGCTTTTTATAGTTTACTTATGTCCTTAGATAAAGTATTAAATGCAGATATATATTACTATATACTACCTCATCTAAATATATGTATATATACGGAATGGTTTTTAAGTTTTTTAAATACCACTTATTAAGCTCGAGTAGCAAAAGCATTTCATTTATAAATCAATACATCTCTAAGATGAAAATTAATAGCTTAAATTCTGTTTTCTTTGTGGAAGTCTGAAAAAAATTAGTCATCCTTAAAATAAGATATGGCTCTAAGTAGAATAAGAAATCATTTCGAAATCAAAACTAAAATACTTTATTGTAATAGTTAAGATTTATTTAATAAGCAAAATATCTTTATATTTAATAGTTATAAATCTTTACTGTAGTTTAGTAATATATTTAGTTTTACGTAATCCCACTTTTTAACTATTTTCATTCCTTGACTTATCCTTAAAATTAAGGAAAATTTTACTTAAATCGGAATAATAGATGCTTTTTATTTTTTTATTAAATAATATTCCTAAAATTGGAACTTTTACGTTGCGTTCATTTTTTACTTGTGTTTATTTTAATTAATATTTCCTTTTCGTATGATAAAAAGTATATCAATCACCTACGTGTAACAGTACATCACAAGTTTTGCAAGTATATCAGGTTTCTTGAAGTTATAATAAATTGGTAGAGAATTAAATAGTAAAACTTGAAAAGTATGGAAAATTACGCCCATTTTTTAAAATAGTCACCACGAGACTATTTTAAAACGCTTGGCCTCGAAAGCACGAGTTAGCTCGTGACCTGTCAGCAATGTGTTAATATTCAAATGCATATCATTATATACACTATCTGGGAGAAAGTGACGGGACAACTGTAAAGTTTGGTGGAGGAGGATTGATTGTACGGTCTAGTTTCTCCTGGTATGGCGCAGGCCTACTGGTGAAGGTTGATGGTATGACGAAAGCCGATGGATACTGTGATATTCCCGACAATCTAATCCTTTCTACCTTGTGGTAACGTACGTACGGTATGGATGATTGCTTGTATCAAGACGACGACGCAAGATCCCATGTTGCAAGGAGGACTCTTGATTTATATGTGAACAACAACGTTAAACGAATGGAGTGGCCGGAGCAGAGCCCTGACCTTAACCCAATTGAACATCTCTGGGACGAGTTGGACCGTCGGTTGAGGGCCTGCAACCCACTCCCCAAAAGCAAGCATGAACCATGGAACTTCCTGTTAAACATTTGGAAGGAAATTCCTCTTGCCACTATGTCTAATTTAGTGGAAACCATGCCCAGTAGAGTTGCAGCTGTGATCGCAGCCAAAGAAGGCCCTACCTATTAATTTTAATAAATATGGGTTTATGTCGTTATAGAGTCGTGTCCCGTCACTTTCTTCCAAATAGTGTATTACAATAGTATACCGTTGTAAATTGAATTTGGAGGAAAATAAATTTAATTATTGTATATGTAATTTGATCTTATCTTGGGACAACAATCCTGCTAAAAACAATCACAATATTCATAAATTATTTTTTTCAGGAAGATTTATTAATATTTTTCTTAGATTAATCAATTTTATTTTGCTATACAACATGCATAATTTTCGCCAAGTCATTACATTTCCCATATCTTGTTGTTGTTCATTTACGTCGCACTAGAGCTGCACAATGGGCTATTGGCGACGGTCTGGGAAACATCCTTGAAGATGATCCGAAGACATGCCATCACAATTTTGATCCTCTGCAGAGGGGATGGCACCCCCGCTTCGGAAGCCCGACGACCTGCACGCGAAGTCGAACACTTTACGGTAGAACAGTTTAACGAGGACCAATACCGCACACCCTCGGTCCCTACGCAGAGTGATCCAAGTGGTCACCCACCCGCACACTGACCGTAGCCAGTGATGCTTGACTTCAGTGATCTGCTGGGAACCGTGTCTTAACGATCAGTCCACTGCTGGACTTTCCCATATCTTAATGAATTACAATACTATTCGAAAATATTCAATGTGGAAAGATGATTTGAATGCATTTATGTAAAAAAAAAGTAGAAAGCAACCTTAAAAAGTACATCGCTTTGCAATAAGAAAAATACGCCAAACTCGTGAACGCTAAGTTGTAAAAAGTTGCAAATAAGTGTTAGTAATTTATAGTTTTTCCATTTAAAAGCTAGAAATTAAGGAATAAAATTGTTTTTTTTTTTTTTTTTTTTTTTAATNAATTTTTTTTTTTTTTTTTTTTTGTTAACTGGGTCCAGGTAAATTAAACTATTTGTTCTTATATCTATTAAAAATCAAATTTTATAATTTTGTTTATTTTATTAGGTGACGGTCATTTTGTTTTGTGTTCAAAAATAATTACGTTAAATAAATAAAATAATATGGTTGACCCGGTTGGAACCCGGCTAACTGAAAAGCAAAGTAAGAGTAATACGTAACCTATATTTTCACTAAAATTTGAATGCAACTCAACTAAATTTGAACTTAGAAACATTTTCCAATTCCGAAATAATGATTAATAATACACAGTAAAAAATGAAATTTTGTAATTTAGTTTTATAATATTCTGTGTTCGTATTTAGAAAAAGAAAGTTTATTTTAAAAATTTCTGTAAATCAAATTTAGATATAACCGCTTTAAAAAGGAAACTACGAAATTACAAGAGCAATTTTTCGTATAAACTAAATCCCAGTTTAAAAGTTTATAGAATTCCTTAGTCAATATAATCAAGATATGCGATTCTATTGTGAATAAGTCTCTTATTTAGCCTCGAGGTAAAGAGCTATTCCTTTTCACTATAAATAAATTAGTTACTCTTCTTTATGTAAAATTGGGGTGTACGCATTGTTACTTAAATATCAAAGTTTGCTTAAGGCTACTTTTCAAAGCAGCTTTTGCACTTACGTTAAATAATAAAGCTATAGTTTGAGTTTATTAAAGTCTAAGTAAAACTTCAGCTTTATGCCATGTGCCGTGTTTAAAAATATTTACAGTATTCAATAAACGTCAAATATTTTAACTAATTAAAACAAGCTATCAATTTTGCTACATTCTTTATTCTGATTAAAATCCTTTAATTCAATGTAATATTCTCAATTTTAGCATATTTTTGTAGTTTAGGAAGTAGTAATTTTTTTTACATGCTTTTCATTTTTACTAAAACATGGATTTTCCTTATATTAAATTTTGCTCCATTGAAAACGGTGGCTCTGACTCACAATAACTTTAATACTCCGATGAATACTCCAAAAAATTACTCCGATGAATAATTTTCAATACTTTAAATATATTGAAAAGGGATGATCCGGTTTATAATGCAACAAATTTTAATAAAACATATATAATTCATAAAAATGTAATTAATTTTTGTCATGATTACATTAATTTTCGTTTAGAGGGAAGATGAAATAACGTACGCAGAGTTATCCCATAAGGAAGCACCATGTTCTGTGGTGAATCGAATTCAACCACCGACAGAGTATGCAGAATTAGACTTTCAACGAAGGTTGGCGTATCCATGGCCTGCGTCTGTGAGAGAAGAAGCCATTCGATCTTCTTTAGAAGCAGGGGAGTTTCCTCTCATCGGAGGAGCTTCAAATAAGAGCAAAGTGAGTTTACAAGTATGAGTATTAGAAACATTTATAAAATTTATTATTGTTTATTTTTAAATCAATTATGGTTAATAAACTGACGCTGATGCAGGTACTCGTATACAGGAGGGGTTTCAGAATTCTACTGAAAAATTCAAAGAAGTGATAAAAGGCATCAAAAAATAAAAATTTAACATCATTGTTGTTTCTTCTAATGACACTTGAGCAGGCGAAGCCTCCCAACAATTGGTCTTTTGCGATTTAAATCAGGAAAGTGTGCCTTTGGTTTGACAAGAAAGCACCGCGAGGGTGAAAATGCGTTTTATCTTGATGGCACACTCATTCGGAGAGGCACAGACATGGATGAGGAGGGGAAGAAAACTGTCTCCAAATCTCTGTTCCCAAGGTACTGCTCATTAGCCGATCATATGACTCCGCAGATTTTGCGAGTTGGTATATCACATATACTCGGTGGGTCTTAGTGGAGTCGAGGATCAAATCCCTGCCCCTCCGAATCAGAGTCCGATTCTTTCGCACTGGGTTACCTTACCACGACTTAAAACACTTTCCAAAGAGCATGGGGTCCCAAATAACGTTAATAGGATGAAAATTGCGAAAAACCATTAGAATTTTCAACGTCACCCAGGAAAAAAGTTGCGAAAGATGCTTCAATTCATGAACGTGGATACCTGCAGATATCAAATGCACGCCTACTAACTTCAAACACATCCCGCAATCGTAATTACATCACCAGAGGATGTCACTTAAATTTACTCTTGTAATAATTAATCAAATAAACCTCTTTGTAGTTGACAACTTTGTAGTATCATTTGCAGTTGTTTTCCAGCTTGTCATCAAAACCGTCGAGGATTACTCATAATTTTAACCCCCTTAATACGGTTTGTATCAATTTTTCACTCTGTTGATGCCTTTTATCACCACTCGAAATTTAGCAGTTGAATTGCGGTACATCTTGTTTAAGCCCTGACATGTAGACATGTGATTAGTATAGCGTTTTATTTCTGAAGTGTGTGTAGAACATGCTGAAACCTTAATGTGTTCCGAAGAAAGCCCAATATCTACTGGATATCAATGAGCACTCATTTCGTTGATTACTAGACCCTGTTGTTTACGGATTGTAAGTAACCGGGTGTTTTCATCTCTAGGGTACTTTGAAACTTTGGGGAGGTTAGGGCATGCAATAAAAGGAAAACATCTAGAAAAAATGGAGTGTGATTCAGCTTGACATACTTGTGCACCTACCTTAGTTTTGATGCTTACTCATGCCATGTTAACTTTCTTTGGTACTTGAAAAAGTCTTTGAGAACTCATCAGCTTGAGTCGGACGGAGAAGAAATTATGCAAACAATTTTGGATTCATACAAGCAGAGTAAAAGGAAGTTTCACCAAAGAAGTTTGAAGTGAAGAGTTAAAGCTGCTGTAGTTGTATAATGAATTTTTATGGTAGTTTTGTATAACTTACTTACCTAATCTGAACTCTACAGTTTTTGTGCGGAAACTTTTTGATCGCCTTTTAAAGCTGTTAGCAAATGAAAATATATTGCATATGCAAGTTGACTCTGTACTTCGATTATTAACTGAAGAGAAGGTAGAGTACATCAGTAGGATTCAAGATTGCATATCGAGTCTTGTACGGAAAATGTACCGAGTGCCACAAGATGATTTTCTTGTTATGGATTAAGTTTTCGTGAACATCTGAAGTAATACTTTTATTTTAATTTGCTACTTTACTCTCACCTATTTATGTATGGACTGGTTGTGCACAATGAAATTAATTTGAATGCAAATTCTGACAACATTTATAAGTATCTAGGCCCAAATTTATGAGCAGTATTGTAGTTTATTTTCAAAACTAACTTGCACAATTCGTCAGTTTGGCTTCCAAATCAGTGAATTACAATAAAACTATACATTTTGGGCCTATTTTAATTTATTTTTTGACAATATGCATTAAAAATAAGAAATAAACTTAAATTAAGATAATTTACATGCGTAATTGCCAACTAGCTCACCGAGCGGTTAGCATGCGTGACTGCGAATCCGATGGCTGCGGGTTCGAATCCCACTTAGGGCATGGGTGATTTTGCATGTTGTTCTCTGTTAAGGGTAATATGTGAATATGGCCTAACCTATGAATGGGTACTTGTGGCAGTGTGGCGTGGGTAATGTTGCTTGCCTCCTTGACTTTGGTCACAGGGCACTCACTGAGCAATGCAAAATGCGAAACACTTCCGGCCCCTTCCATGGCGAAGAACGATAAGTTCGAAGCCAGATGTCAAAAAAATGAAAGGATACAGATTCAAATATGTATGGACTGTTAATTAAAATAATAAAGTACCCTTATTGGTATATGGTGTCATTTCTAGTTATGGTTGCTACGATAATCTGAAGTTTCATGAAGCGTCATTCCTCTTCTCCAAATTTGTATTCACTATGTGCTGACTCCCTCTGTATTTTAGTACATTTTAATGATTGATTGATTGAATGTAGAAGTTTTATGGCACAAGATCCAAAGGAGTATAGGCTGCGCCAAACAATTTGTTGAGTTAGATCTAATGGTAAATTGCACACAATAGTTTCATTGTCATAAAATAAATGAAACTAATAAAATTGTTTATCTCAAGACACGTATTTATAAGAAATTCATAAACATCAATAAAAAGCGTAATTCTATAAAATACACAGAAAAGGTAAAACGGTTCATGGGTTGGAAATAAGAGTGAATAAAATCAGATAAAACAGTTATATACAATATAAAATACCAATAGCTCGCAGATGCGAAAATGTTAGGATGATGAATATCATCTAACAAATCCTTTAGTACATTTTAAAGACAATGTAATGCAAAGTAATTTATATATTTTATCGTAATATGCTCGAAACTGTCTCGCTTAATTTATATATTTAAAAAAATATACATTTGTTTATTTTTAGGAGAGCTTGCATATTCCTGAAACAACAACAGAAACAACGCCGTTGTGAAAATCAATTTCCTTTTATACAAATAACGATTGTTATTTCGTAAGGTGCAAAGAAAAATCAAATATATGGACATTACCGCAAGTGAATGCTAGTCAAAATCCTCCTTTGCAACTGAAGAGGAATAAAAAAGTCTTTCTAAATGCTCATACCTTTATCTACACATAATTCCCGTCCTATTGCAGGCTGATGTTCTTGCGTCTGATTGGTCGATCGCTCCATCAATAGACATATACCAAGAATGTATTGGAAAGAGAGCTAATGGAATATATTGAAGAAGAGTCACTAAGAGAAAGAAATAAAGAGCTTGAGTATGGTATAAGAAATAACTTCTAGTTTCGGAAACGCTTTCATGCTCTGTGATTATGGAGGATTATTGAAGCTAATCCTCCTTATTAGTCTCTGTGAAACGAATTTCTTTTTGTTTACGAAGTATGGAGTATTGTTTACGCGATTAAGTAAAAAATAAGTGCAACATGATAACAAATCGTGAGGAAGGAAATTAAAACATGTTTCGAATGGTGTGAGGAAACTACGGGAGACAGTTGATTAAAGAGGCTAATTCTGTTTGGTTCATTTACCAATCTATTGGAAAGAATTTTTGTAATCCTTGGAGATTAATTTGTGGTGGAAGATAATTATATTTTTTTCCTGAAGAAACGAAAGAGGAAACTAAGTTAATAGATTGAATAAGAGGTTTTCTGTGCTCATGATAATTTTAAGGTAAGTAACAGAGTTGTAGTCAAATGTCAAAATGAAAATTAATTTAAAGGTTTATTTAAGGCAAATCACAATCTTATTTAAAAGTGTTTTACAAAGTTCTTTCGGCATAATAAAAACGAATTCTAACCAAATTTTAATTTTAAATTATTATTATTATTATTTTTTGTCGCATGCCTGTTTAGGCAGTGGGGGTGCGATTGCTCCTGTTTTTCAGTGGCGCCATCTATGGCCAGGAATTCGACTTCTGCCAAGCCATTCACACAACCACAACCTTTTTTAAAATTATTATATACCATATTTTAAATAACATTTTGATGCAGATGGAACACCGGTGTTCTTTCTTTTCTGACGCTCTAATTACAAGAAAAATATATTATTGCATTTAATTAGCATATTTAAAGTCACCCATAAAAACCATTAAGATTAACACTTAGTGCTTGAAAACTCGATATTTTGAACGAAAGTCATTCAGAGTGATATCTTTTTTTATTCTCACTGTACCTTCAATTAAACTGAACAGAACGAAATACAAAATATATTAAAGGCTTTGTCTTTTAAAAATTAACATTCCATATATTAAACATATTATGCAATTCATAAAATAATGAATTCCGGGTATTTAAATTTTTAATTCAAGAACGTGACCGAACAGTTGGAATCTGTTTTGATTTGCTTTGTTTATTTGCTGAACTGAATTTGTGCTGTAATGTAAAATAAGGGACTATATTTTGTTATCTGCTGTCAAGAATAACAAAGTCTTAATACATTGAGTTTAGTTGGTTTTTACTATCATAGATCCTATTAGTTAGCAACTAACTTTATTGTAAACACACAAAAAAATGTCTTAAGATTTTTTCTCATTAATTGTTTTTATTTGTTTCTACGAATGTTTCTTTGTTTTTAGGTACCTGGATACACTTCAAACTGTTTATCTGCAACCAACTGCATGTTTTTCAAAAATAAAAAAAATGCTCTATATGTGTCTAAAGCAAGTTTTTATTTTTATTTTATATGCTAGTTCATATTTTAATCCTTATAATAATCCATATTTTAATCCGTATAAGTCACACGATTACTATTTCATGTAAAACTTTAGTAAGAATAGGGTGAAGTGGGGTGAATGCTTAGACAAAGTTGAATTAGGAATTCAAATTATTAATTAAAACAAAATCAGAAAAGTAAACGAGACAAAGACACACACTACAATTGAAACAAAATCGCAAATAGTTTTAAAAATAGCAAATGAAATGGAGATGATTAATATCAAAAATATTTCTTTAAATGTAATTTTATCCATGAACAATTATAAAAAATGAATTGGTAATTAAAAATACTAGCTAATTTTGAAAATAGACTAAAAGTACTGCAAAATTATTAGGGCTGGGCAAAAAGCCATCTTACATTCTTTGAGTAAAACTGCTGAGACAAAAATACTTGTTAACTAGTTTGTGAAAGAAAAATATGTATAAAAAGGAAGTCTCAAATGCATATGCGGTAGTAATTTTAAAATACTATTTTTGATAAATTTACGGTTGTTATAGGCCTTGCAACACTTCACCCCATATACTGAAGTTAATATAACTTTTAAAAAGATAATAAATGTATGTGTACAAGAGGTCTTAATTAAATGTTTATTAATATTCACAACTCCGAATAAATTTATAAGTAATGAAATTCAGTTTGAATGATTAAATATGATTTGACTATTTAATTCTTACATTAATTCATTTCTAAACTAAGTTAATCAGATTATAAATAGACACTAACTCTAAGATGTATCATAATAACTTAGATTTTTTTTGAGAATTTTAATGTTTTTCCCAATTTTAGTTTCTAACTAATTTAGTTTAGAGTTTAACAAAGTAAAACTATATTAATTTACACTACTTCAAAGAGTTTAATATTGAGTTCATAATAGATAAAAAGGGAAATTTACTTTTAGAAAGCTCTCAAATTATTAGATTTTTTTCTAACAGATGACCGATATAAAATAAAATTAAAGCTTAATTACATTTTGCAACGGTATAGTGAACATTATAAGGTTATACCGCATAAACTAATATATTTTGCAATTTCATTATATGACTTGATATAGTTAATTTTTTTTAATTTTGCGGAATTAAAGCTGTTTTTATATTTTGAGTAAACACGTTCAACTTCAAAACGCACATGCATAGTTTTGGTTAATAAATGTTTGATAAAAAAATAAAAACAATTAATGCAATGTGCAAAAAAGAGCAATTTATAATTTTCACACACAAGGTCTTAAAAATGTGTAAACAATTTTAAATGCTTACTTGCGTATCAAAATTATTATTTATTCGCAAGTAATTTCAAAATATTCTTTATTCCTATTATTTAAATGCAAACACTTCCAATACAGTTTTTCGAACAATCTAACAAAATTTTAAATTTTTTTCATCAATTATATTATGAAAATGTATGTTTTGAAACCGAAAAAGAAACAATTTATTAAACTGAATAATTTATGAAAATACAATTAGCCAAATTGACGTTCTCATTTTTTATTTTAACTTGAATATTTTAAAAAAAAATTGTTTCATAAGAAAAAAATGACTGAAATTCATTTGTTTCAAAAGTAATAAAAGTTTTCATAATTTTTTATGACTACACAAAATCGAATATTTCAGAAAAAAATATTGAAAATGGTGAAACAAATAATTTTCCACCGTTGAGATAATTAAGTAATTAAATAAAAAGTATATTCACTTTCTTTATTTTAGATTCCGCTAAAGGAAAATTAGAATTGATATATTTTTCTGATTAAACTGATATTAGAGCCATTTCTGCAAAATGGCTTGTCCAAAAGATTTCATAATTTCATTATTTAAATTTAAGATTTAATTGTCATAAGGATGTAAAACTCTTTAAATGAAAAACGTTCCACTGAATCTTGAGGCTTAAATAGTCAAAAATCAGATTTAAACCTTCAAAAGAAAAAGATTTAAAAAATCAGACAGAGCTCGTTAAACTCAATAACTTTTGAATCAATTCGGTTGCTTCAGATCTCATCAAGAAAAAACTACTTTCGCCTCAACAAGAGTTTTTTGTTATTGACTCCACGTGTCTGTAGCATGTAAATTTTATTTTATATATTCTTTATATCCTAGAATTTTTATTTTTTCCTGAAGATTTTAAGTTTGTGAAAAATTTCTTTTTCTTCCAACGCAATGCTTTAATATTCATAGTTTCTGCTCTCAAAACTTTAAAAAAAAACAATGGAGTACTATTAATTCTCTCTAATACAGTAAAAAACATCTGAAAAAATTTGTTATATTTTGTATATCCAAAATATAGCTGGTATTATTCAATGGAACTCTGTAAAGTTTCGTTGAATAACATTTGAATTAAAAGTATGAAGTATTTGAATTATGAAAGCAAATTTCAAGAAAAATTCCCTTTGTCCCAAGAGAGCATTTCATTTACGAATAGATGCAACATGCTTATAATGTTTGAAAACTGTTTCGTTTTTAGTTATAATTCAATTGCTATAGAATGTATCTTATATTAATTGCAATATTAGTTCAATAACAAAATCTGTGATTAAATTATAATGAATTACTCATTTTAAGATATGCCAGATGTATGTATATTATGATTTGTCTGTAGTTATGCATACTTGTGAAATACTGGCAGCTTCTTCAAAGCTCCTAAAAATTGTTAAAAATGACACATATTAAAGTAACATGAAATATATGCTGGTAGCTGCATTTCATTAAATGGTGCGCTGCTTCACATCGTGATATTTTCCAAATTCTATCGCCAAAGTTTAAACTAGAAATGTATTTAAACTTGTATGAAAAAAAATGAGTGCCTTCTCCTAAAACTTTTTGCAAGAAGGAATTTATGTAAACTTCAGATCAAACGGACAATTTGTAGATAAAAAAAAATCTATTATTATACGTCCACGTGAAAAATGATGGCTGGTGTAAAAAAAAATGTAGAATGCATTTTTCAAGTGTACTGTTTTTGTATGTATATAAAAAGATTTTATCAATTTTTGTTGTTTTTTTAATTTGTGTTCGTTAAATATTTGTTTCAGGTTTCAAGTTTTGTCATGCTTAATTTTGTTTAACACATAATCAAAATAACCCAACAGTGTGCTCTCAGAACCAATCTTTAAAAGAAAATAAATCTTTAAAGGCAAAGTTTTTTTAAATCTTTAAAGAAAAACAAATTCAGTGTATAGTTTATTTGCAATCATTCAATGATTTTCCAGAAAAATATGCGATCTACTTATGAAAGTTAAAATTTTGGAGCATCTAAGCATAATCTCAATAAGCAAACGGGCATTGCGCAGTGGGCAAATAATATAACTGTTTCGTTTTTTATTTCAATATGCGAGTACTCGAATTTAGAAGAAAAATAGAAATTCAATCGACCCTATTGAGTTTCACTTATTAGTGTTTAATGAAGAAAGAATCTGTCTTGACACACGCGTGGAAAAAGGTCAAAGATAGAACGAGGTAAGGTTAACTATTTAAGTTCTGAGTATAAGATAAGTTAACTGTTAACTTTAATGCGTCAGGGTACCAAAAACAGCCTGTGTTACCAATGTACTTGCTATATCCGTGTCGGTTTTTCAGGTAAGAGTAGACAGATTTTGCACCTCTTTACCGGTTAACTTCTTCCTCTCACGTGACTAGAAAGACGTAACGCATGCGCAAAGTAATTACTTACAGAATGGAGCTTGCGCATTATTGATCCAATTTTGTAAAGAAAAGAAATTAATGGGTTGGAGGTGATTAATATTCAATTTTTTTATTTAATAACTTGTAAAAATTCGTTATACAATACAAAGAAAAATAATATGAATGTCAAAATGCGACTTCCTATCAGCGTAAATACCAGCGGGTATTAAAAATGACTTCGAATTTTTTTTTTTTTTCATTCTTATAAACACTTAGTTACAATAATGTGAGTATTCATCATGAAGAGAATTGTCTTAATACTATTAAAAGTTAGCTACCATTAATAAATTTGACTCCTATAAAATTATGTAATCAGGAACAAATATTCTAACCCATTTAAAAATTTTACTATATGTTATATATTTTAAAGCTTTTGCAATTTGTTTTAGAAAAAAATTCGATACTTATTGTACGAAAATAAAAATTGCTTACCGGTTCGAAATCTTCGTGGTAAATCAGAACTTTCACGTCTATCTACACTACTTTTCTTTTCAAATTCTAAGTAAATGCTTTACTTGTATATTTTGAGATATTATGAAAGCCCAAAAGATAAGAATAGTTAGAATTATAAATAAATTTAAATACAGATTTTAGATACATTTGGATGAATATGAAAATTGTTATTAAATTTAAAATAATTTCAAAATACGGACTACAGTCACAAAATATAAACAAAACAGTCATATCCCTGTTTATTTCATCAATCCATAAGTATGTATATATACACTACTTCACAATAATAAAAGATACATTATCAGTTTTTGACATTTTTTTCGAATTTCTCAAGAAATGCCTAGAAAAATATATCTTTAGAGGTGTTTAGGATTTGGGATTTCTCACAATTATCAATAAAGTTAAAATTCTCCAGATGTTCGAGGGACCAACAATAACTTACAGCAGAAAATGTAAGTTTTTTTAACAACTTATGCCAAAAAATATAAGAGCGCAACTTGCTTTAATTACTTTGATTATTAAATATATTAACTGCTTAAGGCATCGAAAATTTTGATGAAAATTCATAGAGGTATGGGCATTTTTGTAAAAATAAAATACATTTTTCGCCTTTCGTTTTCTTCCTATACATGCAGAAATATTAAATAAAAATTAAACACCATTTTTAGTTTACATAAATGTTATTATAAAATTTAAAGAAAAAAATCGCGAATAATGTGGTATATAATTATTTCACACTACGCATATAAAAAAAACTTTTTTTATTATTATTTTGTTTTGACTCCAATTTGGTAACTAATCAAAAAAGTCCAATTTGAATATCTTAAAAAAGTTTCTACCAATTTTTAAGTAATTTCTGAAAATTTTGAAAGAACCTTCTGAATGCGAAGAATGAGTATTTAAAGTAATTATTTCAAACTAAGCATACACCAAAAAACAATTTTTTTCATTATTTTGTTTTCATTCCAATTTGGTAACAAATCAAAAAAGTCCAATTTGAATATCTAAAAAAAATCAAAAAAGTTTCCATCAAATTTTAAGTAATTTCTGAAAGAACTTTCTGAATGCTAAGGATTTTCACTTAAATTCTATTTTGTACTATTAAATATTTAGTACTATTAAATATATTAAATAAATACTATTATATATATTAATACTATTAAATAGTATTTTGTTGTCTTCCCAATTATTCTAGAGTATTATCATTTGTGAATAAATTATGTTTTTTGATACAAAGTGAAATTTGTGGAAAACACCTTATCATTTAGAGCGTTCCTTAATAATATACAAAAGTTTACTTAGAAAATTGCTAAAAACTTTTTACACTTTCAAGTTATTCAAATCAGACTTTTCTCATAAGTTATCAGATACAACTCACAACAAAATTATGAAAACCTTTTTTTTCAATATTTTGCGCGAATGCGCAGTATGGGAAGGACTTCTTTAAACGCTTATATCTTGCGCAATTTTTAATGATATCTGATAAATTTTAAAATTATATTTTTGTTCTTAATTAAAAATTACTTCAGAAGTTCTGTTTAATTTTGTTGAATGTTTCTACAATAAGAAAAGGAAAAACAAAAAAAAGGTTTTTTTTTTAAAAAAAAAAAATCTCCAAGAATATTTCAGATAGATATGCGAAATATTGTACAGTTATTATATAGAAATTCAAAATACTTGAAACAAAAAACATGCTTACTGCTGTAATTTTCGGCATGGGGTTTTCACACATGCTTCGTTTGCAATTAACTTCGTTAATTAACTTCGTATTCTCAAATAAACCTTGAATTTGTCTTAGAAAAAAATATTTTTGTTTTGTTGAGTTGGACCGCTAAAATAAGATTTTGTGCAAATGCTCATAGGTTTAACTTGCTTCGCTCTTCCAAGATATGTCACAAACTCTTTACTGTACAAAAAAATTATCAAATTGCTATTCGTATTAGCATAATTTGAACTACACAGAAAAGTATTAGTCAGAGATGTTTCAATTAAATACTAAATGTTATTTCCTTTGAATACGTCATATTTGAAGATTTTTTGGAAGTGACATTTGTATGAATTTGAAACATGGTAAACATGCTATTGTTATTTGAAACATAACATTAAGAAACATATATCATCAACAAAAAGCTATTTATAAATCACATTTCCGGTAAAAAAACAACCTTATTTAATAACCGTGTTTTGAATAAGTTCCATGCATTCAGTTGACCATAACAGGTTCTTAATAATCCGCAATTTTTGCACGTTGTTAAAATATCTTCTTCTGCGAAACTCTACATTGATAAGAATTTACGAGTGCAAA